TTCCAGCTATCAATTTAACGGGTACCGAAATCGTGTAACGCAGTGTAGCATGCGTCTATAAGTGCACATTTCGAAGCGCTGGTTTCAATGTATTGCTATCTCTGAGTATCAAATCCCAGTCGGGTCAATCAAGATAATAAACTTTTAGATATTGTCTCGAGTCTGAGTGTTAACTTCACTGTTTCAAATCTCCACACTAATAAATACTTTAACTAAAAAATTTGAGATCTTAACAATATACGTGGTGTTTCCTAATGTATATTGGTGGTAAATACGTGAAACATGACAACAAAAAGTAATAAAACGTACCTAAATTATTGACTGCTTAATATTATTTCATTATTGTAGTTTTAGTATATATAAGTTAGAACGTGCAACTCATCGAACTATACCGAGGCCGAAGCTGCCAACTATTGGAAACGATTTCGGCAGTTCGCTAATGACACTAAATTATAATGGAGTTTCGTTACCTTTAGAAACTACGACCAAAAGTTTCGTACGTGCTGCCAAGGGAAATATATTTTATAAATTATAGACGTGTGTTACTCTAACGGGAAAGCTTTGCTATTTCTAGTTGTACTTAAAACTTACCTAACTTATAGAAAGTTTGGAAACCTAACAGATTTGAATATTTAAGTACCCCTATTAAAGTTTTAGCTCTATGGTACAGTGGTTATCGTGGTCGGTCTACGATACGCAGAGGCCGGACATACGATGGGTTACAAAAAATTATATAACACGTCCGCGAGCCTCCTCGTCGTGCATACATTCTCGCGTGGCCCTCGGGCCTGCGTAGAGGGTCATATCCCACACTTTCTATTTAATTTTAGTTAATTAGCGATGTTATTCAAAGTTCAAAATTATAATTATAAAGAATGTAATAGTTATTTAAGTATATAAATGTATGTTTTTGTTTAATTTGTGTTTGCAGTATGTACATGTGAAGGGTCGCAACCTTGATAACTGTAAAACATACTTTTAATTTGTATTTTCACCCGGTTGTCACCTGTTTTGTACATATTAATAAATAAATAAATTCTATCTGTATAGAAGGCAGGGGGAACATCGATAAGTTGGTGATGATGGTAACGTCAGTAAATGAAGGCATATTAATAATTATTATCGCTGAATCAAGTATTAAATAAAAATTGATTTCTAAGAAAATAGATGGTTGTACGTTATCGTACGCAAAGTAGCTTTCAGATGTAATGTAATAGGGTAAATGGTGGCCAAGTATCACACGATCACGGTTATTTCTTCTATTTCAGTCGAGAATATTTTCTGCTTTTCACAATTTTCAGAAGTCGAGAAAATTTCTATATGAATTTCAATATCAAATCTTATCTGTTTCTAATATTTGTATAGATAATCAGCGTTGCATACATTGCTCAGATTCAAAAGTTAGTATCTGAAGCTGTATTATGGAAATTTATAAGAATGGTATCACGACGCCGACTGCACATTTCCCTGGTTCACTATCTGAGGAAAATTCACAAGTACTGAGTGTTTTCACCTTAGAGAAGTAAGTTTTATATTATCACATTTACTAGTGAAATTTGTAGCCTTTGTTGTATAGAAATTTGTAATTATTGATAGTTATCGTTAAAGGCACTACGTAACGTTAAAAAACTCCTGGATAAATGAACATGTACTAATCGAATTGTTATCAAAATTTGCCCGCGCCCATAAAAATTACATTTTAACATTCTACCAAGCTCGGGCACCAATACCAATGCTATTCTGTAATAAAATAGTTTTAATGGTGCAAAAACTTTCTTATATTTTGAAGTAGGTTTCATTTGATTACACGTCTATTGTTGAAGACAGTATTGCCTGGCTCTTTTAATAAATTAAAAGTTTATCTATCCGCCAACCTCTTTTGATAAGTGTTGAATTTTTGATTTTTGTAGCTTTTATTGGTGTCTGTCTCTTGTGTGTTTATACATTTTTGTAAATAAATCTTTTTCGTGCTAATTTATCTTTTCTGATAAATAAATCTTTCTGTCGATAACATCTATGCTGTTACAACGTTGTGCGCGAGGTCGAGTACAACGCTGATTTTATTACAGAAATAGACTACGAGCTGTTTTTGCTGAATCCCAAGTCTGCATTTAACTATAGCTCGTACGAATTAAAATGACACCTGGTGGCCTATTTTATTTGCATTCGAGCGGAAATCCACAAATATCCACCTTATAATTTTGTTATATCCATATCCACGAAGATTAGATTAAAGACAGTGTCAGGTCTCATCTCATTTCATTGGAGTTGTCTTAGCGCTTCGAAAATAGACGAAGTTTAGTTTTCGGAGAAATAGAATATGCATCCAGATGTAATGTAGTTCGTTCGAGTAGTACTTGTTTCTTTATAAGTTTATATACATTTGAATTGTGGGTATCACAATATTCTTCAATGCGATATTTAAAATGAAATGCGTGTAATCATTGAAATGATTTATTTTTTATCAATAATGGTTCACTATTCAAAAGTCACATCTTACAAATCTAATATTTACAATGATTTTTTTGTTTAAACATATCGTTATAATACAATGAACTCATTATTTATTTTCAAGAGGATAATATTCAGTAGGCGGGCGGGCTGTCCCGGTTGAGCCATAAAATTGAAAGCGGCATAATGAACCGAACATTGTAAAATTTACGAGCTATTTTATTTAAAGATAATAAAACAAGTTTGAAAGTTATGGCGTTCTTTTGGTGTTCAAAGGAAACGGCGCTATTTGATAAAAGTGGATTAAGTACTTTTTATTTAGAACTAAAAGAAAGGGCAAGTCAGGCAATTGCCCTGAGTTGCAAAAATTTGGGCGGTGACTCTATTATTTTTTTGGCAACCAAATAAAAACAAAGCACAATAGAATTCACAGTAGTTCATAAAATGTAGTGAATAGCCTTTGAACCAAAACTCTGCTTTCATGAAAAATTTCATGTGCCATAATTGGATAACATATCTATGACATCAATGAAAGGCGCCGAAGCTAAATACCTGGATCGGATTCTGCTAACAGAATAGTAAATTTTTATAAACACAATCATCGTTTGCCGTCTATTAATCATTCTTTTTATATAATTCTCGTAATAATATTGTAAAACAATTTATAAAGAAACAATAATACTTTATATTTTATTTAATAGGAAAGAACCTTTAAAGCAGTCTGGTTCATTAAGCAAAAAATGGAATTTATCGAAACAATCCTTCTATAAAATTTTATTTACATTTTTCCGTGACAGGTACGGTGGGACTCCATTATTTGTTGTCTATTTAAACATACATGCATAATACTTAAAACTATGTACAATAATTTGCTCAGTATTCAACATATAAAATCACTGGTTCTAGACAGCGGTTTTTTTCTCTTAAAATAGTATAAAAATTATCAATAACTACAAATGATAATTGTTGAAGATATTAAATCAGATATCTAATGGAAAAAAGAAAATAATTACTTGTTTCTACTCCACAATTCGTTACCAAAAAAATCTGTTTACTTGTTGAAATCTAGAATATTAAACAAACATTTAACGATGGTTTTATGAATGTATAGAGCAATGAAACTATTAGTAATTTCCAAGTACCAATATCGATATAATAGCTTTTTAGTTCTTGTTTTTAGCTTTTGGAAATCCTATTCTTGTTTTCCATTATAAAATATTTTTCATTTACAACTTTATATTGATATTTTTTAAATAAAAAGTCTAATAACTGAATTTATCATAGTTATTTATTCAAGAAACAGCGCTTAAAAATATTAAATCGGGTCAAAAATTATAAGTTAAATCGGGTCAAAAACCAAAATATTGTATATGCATTTATGAATCGAGTATATGGTATTTCACATTTTTACAGATCAAGTATATAGTATTTCGTTCTTTATTTTAGGTATTCGGGTAATTTATTATAATATCGTAAGTAATTATAATATTGTGTAACTATTTACCCATCGAAAGTGTTTATGAATTATTTCTGCTGAAGTTTTCGTTCACCAGATATCAATTTGTAGTTTAATTTGTTAAATCTCTATGCCCGTATAAGGTCAAATTGAAATTGATATTGAATTGTATATTTGCGTGTTAGACAATGTAATATTAAAAAATATGGGCCATTGATAAAAACTGTTTGTACAAAGCACATGATTATTAAAAATTAAGATCGGCATTATCTTATTTTGTTCGTAGCCTGATTATTTGGAAAAAAATGAATAGATACATAATTCATTAAAACCACGTTTTAATTTTACAAAACACTAAATCGATGACATGACGTAGGTATAAAAAAAAAATTATACACAGCTGGTCTATATATTAAAAAAAAACATTAAAAAGTTGTATTATACACTGGACAGCAAAACTAAGTATCACACTTTTAAAATGGCAATAACTTTTTAAGTACACAAGATACACTATCGAAATAAAAAGGACTCGAAAAAGAATTTAATTTAGTAAAATAAAGTAAATAAAGCTGATAAAATTTACTATAACATGGTATTTATTTTAAATCGCTAAACTTATATAGATTACAAAAAAAATAGGTTTCAAAAGTGTGATACATACTTTTGCAGGTCAGTGTAGTTCCCGGATGCTTACCATACCGGGGGAAACTATATTTTAGTGATTGATTGACCAGGCATTTCTGACGACTAAATAACCTATAAGCGACAGCCCTACATGTTTAGGCTATTAACTCTCGCTCGGGTCTCAAGTGCAGCTACTTATATATTTATTCTATGCCATCGTACATGTTTATTGTTGTTTGGGGTTTGAAAAGATGTCCATTTGCCTCTATTTGAAACTAAATGAACACTAAGACCGTGTGAGTATTAGTCTGAAAATTTATATTACTGCTCGTTTATTAGTACCGGACATGAATAGGAAATTCCAAATGAAAAACATTCAATATTACAATGATATCACTGAGATGATACTTCAATCTTATACTTATCTTATAATTAGTGTAAAATAATTTAAATATCATAACCAGTCTTTTTACTTATAATATAGAAAAACAAATAGCAGTTGAAATATAATACTAATTTAAAATACACTTTAAACTTTCTTTACATTACAATGAGTTGAGCAGTCCTATTCTGTTCAAAATACAGTGTCGAGTGATGCGTTCACCGAATTATAGGTTCAATTAAATAAAACCTACTGCAAAAGGTAATAAAAGTTTTATTTGATTAAGCCTCTATTCCTGTGACAGCCCTATATTCGATGCTGTATTTTTACAGAATATACTGTAAATGTTCACTTTAAAACATTTATCAAAACCATCGTTAATACTAATACTAAGTTTGAGATAATAGTAATCGAGGAATTGTTTCTCCAATAATTTTCGTCTTTCGACGAAAGCATTAGTGAATCTTCTTTGTTATGGCTTAATTCACTCGGACAAGGTAACGAATCGAGCGCTATGTCTGTTAAAGGAATTTGTTCTCTAACCAAAGGTTGTACGGTAGGTTCCGGTTTGAACGACTGACTTGTTTCTTCATAAAACTCTTTATCGTTATTGTCTTGTTGTAATAAATAGCCGCTGGTGACCATTTCGAAGATACCCTTTTGTTCTTTGATTTCATAGTCGGTGACATCATTTGATGTTCTGTCGCTGTTGTTAGATGCCATAGGTATACAAGTGACGTCATCTAAAGCTGCACGCAGTATTTCACTCTTCGTTTCATTTCTTAGCTTCTGCATCCAAGACAGTCGACAGTCGCAACTTAGTCTGTTACCTATAACAATATTTTAAAATTATTGATATTAGGATAATATATAATAATAGTAGCTAGTCGGCGTAGTGGGTAAGTGCCGCGTCCCGTGAACGTTGTTATTAAGCATCTTTGGCAAGGGTTAGTCATGGGACGGGTGACCAAAGGCCTGCGCCCCTGCAGTGGGAACGTGCGGGAACATCATATTAAATAAAATTTTAAGTAGTTAAACCACTTGTATTATTGGAATCAGAAAGGGAGGGACACCCAGACCGAGCCAATAGACAAAAGTTCATTTGCTACATTTACACCAGGCCTTGAATCCGGGATTATACAGATTCTACTCGTCGAAATCAGTGTGTGAGCCACTCGAAAAAAAAATGTGATTCTTAACATCATTTTAACAAATTTTAAATTGAATATATTCAAGTGTGTTCTAGCATCAAAAACCAAACAGTATATGACACGAAATAAATATCTTTTGTGAACGACAATATTACAATATTTAATATTGTAATTTATACAATTTTATTGTTATCCGAGACGTGTTCTTTAAACATTGCATAATAGTAACGCACCCATTACATTAAAGTGACCCCTCGTGCCAATTCACGTCACTAACGAAAATATAATAACAGTAGTTTGCTTGTTGATTTTTAATAAAACATTTTTCATTCAGCCCAAATCGAGTTATAACGCCATTGTTGACTCACTAAAGGGAGCTGTTACACTCATTAATTGTCTTTAATGTACGAAGGGCGCTACGCAGGGGGATTAAGCCTCTGTAGGGAGGTCTCTTTTGTTTGTACAAAATATAGTTATTTATCTTCCCATGAGTACTTCCTAAATACATGGAAATGCTATATTTGCTTCGAAATGACACATTTAATGTAGTTTAAATAAAAGCTGTGGACTTTTACAATATTTTTCTTCGTAATATTAAATATTCTAAGCCTGGAGAATTTTCTATTGAATAGAAACTTGGAAATTGTTCTGAATATTAACTAAACCTCTCAATCAATTAGTGAAGTCTTGAGAAACTGTTCGAAACGTTGTTATTATTAAACGCCTTTTTTATCAAATGTTCTGGTTATTTTATGACTCCTAGTTAAATTGAATAATTTGTGTTCACAAAATCAATAACTTATTTCAATGTTAGTATTATTTTAGTAGAAATGTTAAGTGTTAAAATGTTAAATTACATAAGTAGAAAATAAAATTAAAACTCACCACTCAGATAAAGAACGGACGTCTTCATTTTCAAATTTTCAATTATCGGCTTAACATTTTCGTTTGTGAAGAATTCTATTTCGTTGTTTCTCAAATCCAATAATTCGAGGCCTCGGACACCTTCTAAAAGCCCCTCATTAATGGATTTCAATTTGTTCCCAGTCATTGATAATTTTTGTAACAGAACGAGTCCGTCGAACGCCCTCTCTGACAAATATTTCAATTCATTATTGTCCAAGAGGAGCTCATTTAAATTCCACAATTCAGTGAACGTTAGATCTCCGATCATTGACAACTTGTTAGACCTCAGATCCAATCTCGTTAAATTAGCCAAACCCCTAAAAGTATCTCTAGTCAATACTGTGATTGAATTGGCCTCTAATATCAGATCGTTGAGTACAGTTAAATGTTGAAAACATCCATCGTGCGCCAGATTAATGTTGTTAAACGACAAATCGAGGTATCTGAGTGAAGGTAAATCAACGAAAACGTCCCGCTGTATCTCGGTAACTTTATTTTCTTTTATAGTCAAGTTTACGAGCGCCGGTAGATTTGCGAACGAGGAAAAGTCGACTGCGGTTATTTTGTTGTTCATCAGAGTTATTTCTCTCACAGTCGACATGTTCGAAAATGTTTTTTTCTCTATTTTACTTAACGTAGCGTAGTGTATATAAAGTTTTTGCAAACGCTTCAAACGATGTATCACTTGTAGTGGAATGAATTTTAGAGCACCATCGGATCTAACATTAAATGTGAGCCGTTCTAAATACGGCTGTGAGCTAAAACTAGACCATATAGGATCACTTTCATCTATTCCTCCATTGAAAACCCAACAGTCTGCTCTTGTGGCCGTCTTCACTTCAGTGTTCTCGCAATAGCAATGCACTTTGGATTCCCTGTCTGTTATTTCACATATATTGTCTTTTATCTGTGTGCCGTGATACCTCCTTTCAGTCTTATCTCTCCGTTTCTCATTTAGTCGGCTTTCAGTGTACGATATTTGCACTGAAGTCAACGCCAGAGCTAGGAGTAAATATTGGACAGCGGTCTCCATGTTTCTTTAACTTGACGGTAACCTGAAACAAGCAAAAAATACATTAAACTAGATTACTTTTAGAAGGCAATTACTTTGGGATGAAAAGCTGCTAGTGACGGATTTCGTACAAGGTTTTGACAATTTTGATAAAGTAGAATTTTAATTAATTCATTCCATTCATGATTCAGTTTAATAACACAATATCAAAACGGGAAATTTATAAACTACTGTTTTAATAATAAATTTCCTCGATTTTAAATAGATAATAAGACAAAGTTTACTATTATTAGGTGATTGCAAATTTATAAATAATATAAGCAATTTTTCAAAATGTTAAACTAGATTTTTTTATTCAAAACTTACATATTGCTTAACCGAATAGGTTTTTGTACTTTAATTATGTTTCAATGTATATTTTCTTAAACTGATTAGCAATTAGCTTTAAACGTTTGCACTGAATAAAAATTTGAATTTTTTTTTTTTAGAATATAGCTAGAATTTAATCGAAAACAAATTAAATAACTTAAAAACGCTTCCAAGTTTATTTTAGCAGCCCCTAGTAACCCACGTATTCGATCAAATTTGTGGGCAGTTTGCTATCTCGTGACAACATATCGTTTGCCTTGCATCCATTTTGCCCCCGTTTTATCAATTTCATAGCAATAACGTCAGATACAGCTTGATTACATTCTTAATTATGATTGCCATAATTAAAGGAAAAATGAATTTTACGCATAATTACCTTATGCGTAAATTCATCTCTTGGAAACTTCACGATGACTTTAAAATCATTATAAAAGAATGAAACGAACGGTGGGTGCAATTGGTTAGAGATAAGTTCATAAATTTGGTAATTGAATCGTACATTATTATTTAAAAAAAATGAAAACAAGGTCACGTTCAGGAAAATAATACATTAATATTATTATCTAACAGCACACGAGATAGTATAAGATAATTTTGTACTACTACTTTTAAAGACCTGGATTCTATTCTTTACTATGTTCTTCCCTTTAATTTAAGTCTTTTATGATGGCGTCCGGATATTGAGGCAGACACCAATATCCTGTAATAGATAAAAATAAAAATTCGGTCATGAGCGAGACCTATAAATTATAAAATTTTCTTTCGTCTTATGAAGGTTTTTATGTATTATTTTCTATGAGTTTTCAAAATTTCAGAACCAGTAGTTTCAGAGATTTATTTTCATAATAACTCCGACACTTCTCATAATTATAACTTAATCTTTCAAATATTTTTGGAGCAAATCGACTGACAGACATATGGACGAACGGACAGATAAACAGACACGCAGGCTATAAGGGCTCCGTTTTTTAGGGTTCCATACGTAAAGGTAAAAACGGGACCCTATTACTGAGACTGAGTAATTACTGAGTCTATAAGTTTGTCTATATCTATACAACTACATAATTTTCAACTGATGTATGATATAATTATTCTACTGCACTTTTATAGATAACTACATTTAACGGCATTCGTGCACGTCCGACTCGCACTTAGCAGATTTACTTACTTTCCCAGGTAAAGAACCTTAATACCTACAAAAGAAATAAATTGTATTTTACTCTCATGTTTTCGTTCCACTGATTCTCTTCACTTTTGAATCGTACCAATTTGTTTTGATTTACAAGAAATATCTCTAAACAAGGACAATAATACATAAACAAAGCATTTCTTCTTAACAATTACACTGAAAATAATACAAAAAAGATTGTTTCTAAGAAAATTAGACGCTTAAAGACATTGAAGAAAAAAGTTTCTATTGAGAGCAGGAGTCAAGTTGATTGAAACCATTACACTTCTCTTTTCTTCAAATAACTTTCTTAATGTTTTAGATAAGGACAAAGATGGGACTTTGGGACTTTTTGTTTCGTCGAAACGTTTATTAGGCTTTGCATTTTCATGACCAGTGTTTGCTTTTAATTAAAACAAAGAATGGTTTATAGCCGTATAAAGAGTTCGACATTTCTTTGTTTTATTAAATGAAGAAGAATTAGGTAAATGTTACTGGTGTTTCCTTTTTTAATTAAACGCTCTAAACGTAAAGTTGAATTTTTAGAATTTTTACATATTGTTTTGTTTTTTACATGATTTTAACCAAAAATTAAAACAGCATGATATTTAAAAAAAACATTGAATAAACTAGGTAGTACAAAGTAACGGAGAGCTTTTGAGAGAGACAATTAGTTAAACCTATTATGAATCATTGAGATTTGCTCAAATATTACACTAATAAACAAAAAAAAGATGTGTATTAATATTTTATTTCATTAATATTTCAATATGATCTCCTGCTCTACGTATATTATATTGTAACCTTATCAATACTTAACTTTTGATACAAAGCATAAAAAGCTTTTGGTAAAAATAAAATAATAAATAATCTGGTTTCTGATGATAACAATAAGTCGGATTAGATTTACTGAAGGAATATAATAATATTCTTAAAACAGTATTTCTAATAGGATTATTACATAATTTATCATAAAACTATATTACAAATACCTACATATTGGTAAGGGAAAACAAATTACATAGTTGTATAAAGTTCAGTTAAAACAACTATGTATATTGTTATATACAATAGGATCTTTTACAATAATGCGAGTAACACGTCGTTTTAGTTGGCTTTACACTGACCACCTGTAGGCATATGTATAAATTTGACAGGTCTTATGTATAAAGTCCGTTTAAGCGATCTG